TTCACCCGCCATGGTTTTCTGCAAACAATTTTTCTCGGTAGGGTTTCTATTCTATTTCGGATTATCAAATTTGGTGCAAACGTAATAGTAAATAACAAAAAAAAAGTAATTATCAACTTAAATAGAATTATCTTTGATAGAGAATATACATGTACTCTATACAAATATTAATAATTTTAAGTTTATATATATATATATATATATATATATATATTCTACATCTTCTATTCTTATTATTATTTCCTCTATGGTAAAATACTAATATAAAACATATAATATATTCCCAATATATATTGATAGTAATAACACGACGAATCGTCAAAACATAAAAAAATTGATTAATCATTGTAAGAATAAACTAAACATCTAATTAGTTTAAACATATTAATAATTAAATTTAAAGAAAATTAAAATGTAATTAAATTGTTCTTAATCAAATCATCCAAAAAAAATTATAAATATAAGTTAAAAATATGATTTTTAAATTTTTATTTCGTATTTATTATATTATCTATTTTACTTATTGAATTTGAATTTAGTACTGAAATATCTTTAATAAAAACAGTTGTTGATCGGTCAAACAATAGCTTACCTTAAAAAAAATTTAAGTTATCATTGAGCATGCGGGTAATGTTTGTGATTATGCAAGTTAGTAACGGTGTATAGAATATTAAGCTTAATTCAATTTTGTAATTGAGTGATTTTACTTTAATGCTGATATTGATATGCTCTTTGAAAGGTCATATTTAAAGAATATTTAACTAGCTAAAGTAAATTTAATTCAATTTGATATGCTATCACATTAATCTAGGTTTTGTTAATTAAGAATGTATGTTGAATATCTAGATAAGTTCATTATTAACTCGATAAGAAAAACCTTTGTTAGATTAGGTTGTATTTTTATTTTATTTTTTTATTAAGATTGTTCCAATAGAACAACTCTCTTAAGAGAAATTAATCATTTAAATAATAAGTTTTGGTTTTATTTTTCTAATAAAATGTGTAATTCAAAATACTTTTTTATTAGATTTTTAATGAAGACTTTTAAACAAATACATTATATTATTTATTTAATATTTAAATAATTAAGTAATTATTGTTACTATTACTATTATTATTAGATATTATTATTAATATTATTTAATAATTTCATCTAGATTGAATATCAAATTCAAAATATAACACTCATCGCTCAGTTAGCTAAAGATTAAATTAAATTCGATCTAAGAAAAATAAAATAAAATTCCAACTATTTAAGATTAATTCTGTCAGATTGAATCCACTAATTATTTAATATTTAAATAATTGAATAATAGTTATTATTATTACTTAAAATTTCAATATCATACTGAAAATACATAACTTATCAACCAGTAAGTAATTAAATTAAATTTGATTCCATAAATTCAAATTCCAGGTAACGAAAAAATTAATACTACAAAATGAAAATTACATTTATTTATTCTACAGAAGCTTATAAATATTTCATAATAGTCAAAAAATAAATAAATATTATTTTAGCAAACTTTCCAACCTTTTTTTTCAGACAAACTTTTTAAGTGAAATTCATTTAATTTCCATCATATATCATCATCCATTTGATGAATCACATTCTAAACACAAGCATTTCCACCATTGATTAAGAAAGAAACAATTTAGAAACTACCACAAGAGAATGAACAATGGTGGTGATGCAGAACAATCAGGAACTGATCACATTTATAAGTATCTATACAAGAACCTTTAACTTCTTTACATGATAATGAATGAAAAAATAGGCAAGCAAAAAGAAAAGAAACATGAAGAACAAAAGCTAAGATGAATCCTAGACAGTTTCAATGTTATTCTCGTATAAGACTCTGATTCTGAATCAAGAATAACATTCAAAAAGCATCCTAAAAAACCACTATCTAAATTTTTCCTCAAAATAAATCAGTGATACCCAATTAACTTGTAGTGGTGTTAGATGAGATTTTAACCATGATTGAAATTGGAATGTTTAGCACATGACCTTGATTCCCAAACAGCCCAATTCTCCCAAAGCTGGAAAGAGAGCTGTTAACTGTTGCATTCAAGAGCACAGACAATATCTGCTTCTCACCACTGCCAATACTGAAGTGAGTTGGAAACACTTTCAATGAAACTCCATAAGGAGCAGTCCAACCAACACTGTATGATTCATTTTGAGCAGTGTTTTTGACTGTCCTCTGCACTATTCTAGATTGGTTCAGCTTTGATATAGTGATTGAGGGCAGGTTCAGATCAGGACCATACACACTGGAATTGTAGAGTCCACAATTTTGACCAGTGTAGTTTAGCACCACAGGATATGAACCATTGATGCCACATAGAAATGACATATAATCATCATAACCTACAAAAAATCATAAATATAACAATTTCACATGAAGTTAAGTTTAAACTAGAGAAAGCTAAAAAACTTAATTACAAGTGGACAATTGCAGTTACATTATCCACTTCACTTATTCAATTATTGCACAATTTGACACCCCATATAAACTCAACAACTTCAAAGGGCAGAGGAACTTCTCAGAATAAAGAAAACCTATAGTCATAGAAATTGTAATACATTTTTATTCAAATATCAGTAAGATTTTCAATGGATATAGTATAGGGAAACAAACGAGCTGTGTAGCTCATACTGCTTACATGTTGGAAATTGGAAAAGGTAAATAAATTTATGCAACCTAAGTTCTTGCTACAGAAATTCTTAGTTTACATAAGATCCTAGGTTCAAAGGTTGTTGCTACCATTGTACACCAAAAAATAAGGATTTTTTTCCAATATGATGACTATAATGAGATATTATCTGGTGGTTTTAAAGTCTTAACTAAAAAAATGAAAATTTGAATTGCTGTTTTTCATCATAAGAGAGTAGCTTATGCAAAATGTTCAAAAGATTAACTAAGCACAGACCACAATCATAGTTGAATTTCATGCCGTTTTTTATACTTTGAAACTTGAAATGCTGAAGTGACTTACCGGAATCAAAAATCAAACCAGGATTCAGTGCTCCACTTGCATTCACAAAACCACTTCCCATGTCAAAAGGAGTTGCTGGAGACTCGTTTAGTTCAGGAGAGGCATACGATCGTTGAGCCATTATTGGCCCACCACTCTTGTCATACAGAGAAGCTGTAGTGGAAAGTGCAGATCCAATGGCTGCAGGACTAAAACTCGGGAACTTTTGCTTAATTAGTGCAGCAAGACCAGCAACATGAGGAGCAGCCATGCTTGTGCCAGACATCAATGCAAAATTCTCACCTGCTGGAAATGTAGATGTGAGAATGCATTTGACATAATCAGCATGGATGGAAAACAAAAACATATCAGATTATTCCTTAAAAAGATGTTGTGTTTGACATATGAAAAGAGATCCTTAAACTAGTGTAATCTTGTATGCATTACAAACCTAGGAACTCAACGGAATCAGCAGCAACAGAACTCCAAGCAGCCCATATAAAACTTCCAGGAGCTAACAAGTTGGGTTTCAAAATGTCTGCTTCATGAGGAAGACTGTCTTGTGGATCTGGTCCTCTGGCAGAGTAATACATTACCTTGGGTGCAGCACTGCCATAATTCGCTTTTAGTCCACCACAGATACTGGCAGCAGCCCCAAATTTAACAATTTTCTTTGAAACGGCATCTATTTCCAATGAAGAATTGTAGTATTGCATTAAAATCTGACCATGTCAAAAAACCAGGAAACTGTCAGGGAGTTATTCCTCGTGCATATGTAATATAGAGAAACACAAGTTACCTAACACATTGGCCAAATTCATGCATTGTTTTACAAAGACAGCAGAATGCTTTTAAGTAAATAAACAATACATCAAAAGATGCCATATATCGTAAAATGCAAGCCTAAGAAAAATGGAAAAAACAAAATGAGCGTGATATCAAGGAAGTGCACACACACTTCAAAACAGTAGTCAAATTATCCATATCAGACCTATTCATGTCAGACTTTTTAACTACTTCTCTGGCAGTATATTATAATTCTTCTACTTCTATTTAACAAACTTTTATTCCAATAGCATTTTAGATGTATATAATGCCTCTTACTCACTTTTAACAATTGTTTTATGTTCATTTTGTACAAATTTTTATGTTGTATTATAGACATATGTTGTGTCCAATAAACACAAGTTTAAATTCCATGTCATTTCCCTCTATGTTCCCCAGATAGTTACGTGCAAATAAGACTGAGAAGGTAAATGGATAACACTGCACCTTGGAATCATTAGTGGAAGCAATTATTATGCTTGGCATTTTCATTGCAACAGGGTTAAGCTGAAAACCAATCACATAGGGATCCATATAGAAGACAACACCAGCTGCACTAAGATTTTTGGCTGTTTCTGAGGCTCTTTTGATGGTGGAGAGTCCCAGCACAAATCGAATTGAATAGCTGCACATTAAGAGGTTCCCCTTGATCAAATCCTTGTTGAACTTATTTGCATCTTGGCACTCACCAACATACATATCATCAGCAACCGTTGTGTCATTATTGCTCAATGCATGATGTGCATGAATCAGTTTATAAAGTTTGCTTTCATCTGTACCAGCTGAGGAAAACAATAATAATAATAAATGAAAAAAAGGGTCATATAAATCAATCCCAGCAAAAATGCTAAAGAAATAATAAACACCTGTGTTAACAATTGAATAATCTTATAACTAATTACCACAGGAGGATATTTAATCTATCATTCTTAAGCAGAAATCCTTGACAGCACAAGAACTGATTGTCCACAATATAGTGAGTGACAATAATAGACCTTAAGATTATCTTTTTCTCTTGTTTGGGGCTCATGTTCAGTGAAGTATAATAAGCAACCAGAGTTAATTCAAGCACAAAAAATCCCAATAACACAGTGAATCCTAGCTCCCTGGTCTCAACCTTCATTAACATTGTATTTTTTTCCACTTAATTTTATCATCAATAAGAAATGATACAACAGTCTCATCGAAGCTCTTCAGTACTATTTGGTTAAACCAAGGAGGAAATCCAGGAATAGAGAAACTTACGAGCAAGACCAACTCCAGGTATGGTCACATTATTTCCAAGAAATATGGAGTTGCTATAAACCCGATCATGAGAGGCAGCACCAACAGTAAAGATCCATGGACTGAAGGAGAACATGCTTGTTGGTGATGGTCCAGTATTTCCTGCTGCTTGCACGACAAAAATACCGGCCTTCACAGCCGACAGCAGAGCCATGTCTATTGGATTGAAGAAAGTTGCCACACCAGGAGGACGTCTATTAGGAGTAATTGACAAGCTTATTATGTCAACCCCATCCTGAGCTGCCTGTAAAATCATACCATTAATAGATTGTAAAGGCAACAAAAAAGTGAGTAAATGACAGGGATCCTAAGAGGTTAAATAAAAATCCTAAAACAGTGTGAAAAAGTGCTCTTCACCACTACTGAGGTAGGGGCATAATGGAATACATTGCTAAAAGCAAGCCCTTGAAGAATAGATAACAGTTATATACTTAATTAGGGAATTGAACTATTTTACACAAACATATTCTAGGGAGAATCAAAAACATAGAAGGGAAAAAATGACCAGCACAAAATAATTGTTTGCACAACAATATATAACTTGTCTGAAAAATTAAAAATGTACCTGGTCAATTGCTGCAACGACATCTGCAGCAAATCCTCCAAAGCTCTTGTATAATGCCTTGTAAACAGCAATGCTGTAAAAGATTGAAATGCAATACAAGCATAAATTGTCTTTTTAAAGAAAAAGAAACCAATGAAGGTTAAATGAAACAAATAAATAGAAAAAACAAAGCTAAATACACAATTTCTATAACTTTTTATAAACTCCAAAGATAACCTATTTTAAAAGACCTACCTGTTTGCTGTTGTCAGAAAACAAAGTAATGTGGAGTTGAATGATTAATGCTATGGAAANAGAAATTAATCATTTAAATAATAAGTTTTGGTTTTATTTTTCTAATAAAATGTGTAATTCAAAATACTTTTTTATTAGATTTTTAATGAAGACTTTTAAACAAATACATTATATTATTTATTTAATATTTAAATAATTAAGTAATTATTGTTACTATTACTATTATTATTAGATATTATTATTAATATTATTTAATAATTTCATCTAGATTGAATATCAAATTCAAAATATAACACTCATCGCTCAGTTAGCTAAAGATTAAATTAAATTCGATCTAAGAAAAATAAAATAAAATTCCAACTATTTAAGATTAATTCTGTCAGATTGAATCCACTAATTATTTAATATTTAAATAATTGAATAATAGTTATTATTATTACTTAAAATTTCAATATCATACTGAAAATACATAACTTATCAACCAGTAAGTAATTAAATTAAATTTGATTCCATAAATTCAAATTCCAGGTAACGAAAAAATTAATACTACAAAATGAAAATTACATTTATTTATTCTACAGAAGCTTATAAATATTTCATAATAGTCAAAAAATAAATAAATATTATTTTAGCAAACTTTCCAACCTTTTTTTTTCAGACAAACTTTTTAAGTGAAATTCATTTAATTTCCATCATATATCATCATCCATTTGATGAATCACATTCTAAACACAAGCATTTCCACCATTGATTAAGAAAGAAACAATTTAGAAACTACCACAAGAGAATGAACAATGGTGGTGATGCAGAACAATCAGGAACTGATCACATTTATAAGTATCTATACAAGAACCTTTAACTTCTTTACATGATAATGAATGAAAAAATAGGCAAGCAAAAAGAAAAGAAACATGAAGAACAAAAGCTAAGATGAATCCTAGACAGTTTCAATGTTATTCTCGTATAAGACTCTGATTCTGAATCAAGAATAACATTCAAAAAGCATCCTAAAAAACCACTATCTAAATTTTTCCTCAAAATAAATCAGTGATACCCAATTAACTTGTAGTGGTGTTAGATGAGATTTTAACCATGATTGAAATTGGAATGTTTAGCACATGACCTTGATTCCCAAACAGCCCAATTCTCCCAAAGCTGGAAAGAGAGCTGTTAACTGTTGCATTCAAGAGCACAGACAATATCTGCTTCTCACCACTGCCAATACTGAAGTGAGTTGGAAACACTTTCAATGAAACTCCATAAGGAGCAGTCCAACCAACACTGTATGATTCATTTTGAGCAGTGTTTTTGACTGTCCTCTGCACTATTCTAGATTGGTTCAGCTTTGATATAGTGATTGAGGGCAGGTTCAGATCAGGACCATACACACTGGAATTGTAGAGTCCACAATTTTGACCAGTGTAGTTTAGCACCACAGGATATGAACCATTGATGCCACATAGAAATGACATATAATCATCATAACCTACAAAAAATCATAAATATAACAATTTCACATGAAGTTAAGTTTAAACTAGAGAAAGCTAAAAAACTTAATTACAAGTGGACAATTGCAGTTACATTATCCACTTCACTTATTCAATTATTGCACAATTTGACACCCCATATAAACTCAACAACTTCAAAGGGCAGAGGAACTTCTCAGAATAAAGAAAACCTATAGTCATAGAAATTGTAATACATTTTTATTCAAATATCAGTAAGATTTTCAATGGATATAGTATAGGGAAACAAACGAGCTGTGTAGCTCATACTGCTTACATTTTGGAAATTGGAAAATGTAAATAAATTTATGCAACCTAAGTTCTTGCTACAGAAATTCTTAGTTTACATAAGATCCTAGGTTCAAAGGTTGTTGCTACCATTGTACACCAAAAAATAAGGATTTTTTTCCAATATGATGACTATAATGAGATATTATCTGGTGGTTTTAAAGTCTTAACTAAAAAAATGAAAATTTGAATTGCTGTTTTTCATCATAAGAGAGTAGCTTATGCAAAATGTTCAAAAGATTAACTAAGCACAGACCACAATCATAGTTGAATTTCATGCCGTTTTTTATACTTTGAAACTTGAAATGCTGAAGTGACTTACCGGAATCAAAAATCAAACCAGGATTCAGTGCTCCACTTGCATTCACAAAACCACTTCCCATGTCAAAAGGAGTTGCTGGAGACTCGTTTAGTTCAGGAGAGGCATACGATCGTTGAGCCATTATTGGCCCACCACTCTTGTCATACAGAGAAGCTGTAGTGGAAAGTGCAGATCCAATGGCTGCAGGACTAAAACTCGGGAACTTTTGCTTAATTAGTGCAGCAAGACCAGTAACATGAGGAGCAGCCATGCTTGTGCCAGACATCAATGCAAAATTCTCACCTGCTGGAAATGTAGATGTGAGAATGCATTTGACATAATCAGCATGGATGGAAAACAAAAACATATCAGATTATTCCTTAAAAAGATGTTGTGTTTGACATATGAAAAGAGATCCTTAAACTAGTGTAATCTTGTATGCATTACAAACCTAGGAACTCAACGGAATCAGCAGCAACAGAACTCCAAGCAGCCCATATAAAACTTCCAGGAGCTAACAAGTTGGGTTTCAAAATGTCTGCTTCATGAGGAAGACTGTCTTGTGGATCTGGTCCTCTGGCAGAGTAATACATTACCTTGGGTGCAGCACTGCCATAATTCGCTTTTAGTCCACCACAGATACTGGCAGCAGCCCCAAATTTAACAATTTTCTTTGAAACGGCATCTATTTCCAATGAAGAATTGTAGTATTGCATTAAAATCTGACCATGTCAAAAAACCAGGAAACTGTCAGGGAGTTATTCCTCGTGCATATGTAATATAGAGAAACACAAGTTACCTAACACATTGGCCAAATTCATGCATTGTTTTACAAAGACAGCAGAATGCTTTTAAGTAAATAAACAATACATCAAAAGATGCCATATATCGTAAAATGCAAGCCTAAGAAAAATGGAAAAAACAAAATGAGCGTGATATCAAGGAAGTGCACACACACTTCAAAACAGTAGTCAAATTATCCATATCAGACCTATTCATGTCAGACTTTTTAACTACTTCTCTGGCAGTATATTATAATTCTTCTACTTCTATTTAACAAACTTTTATTCCAATAGCATTTTAGATGTATATAATGCCTCTTACTCACTTTTAACAATTGTTTTATGTTCATTTTGTACAAATTTTTATGTTGTATTATAGACATATGTTGTGTCCAATAAACACAAGTTTAAATTCCATGTCATTTCCCTCTATGTTCCCCATATAGTTACGTGCAAATAAGACTGAGAAGGTAAATGGATAACACTGCACCTTGGAATCATTAGTGGAAGCAATTATTATGCTTGGCATTTTCATTGCAACAGGGTTAAGCTGAAAACCAATCACATAGGGATCCATATAGAAGACAACACCAGCTGCACTAAGATTTTTGGCTGTTTCTGAGGCTCTTTTGATGGTGGAGAGTCCCAGCACAAATCGAATTGAATAGCTGCACATTAAGAGGTTCCCCTTGATCAAATCCTTGTTGAACTTATTTGCATCTTGGCACTCACCAACATACATATCATCAGCAACCGTTGTGTCATTATTGCTCAATGCATGATGTGCATGAATCAGTTTATAAAGTTTGCTTTCATCTGTACCAGCTGAGGAAAACAATAATAATAATAAATGAAAAAAAGGGTCATATAAATCAATCCCAGCAAAAATGCTAAAGAAATAATAAACACCTGTGTTAACAATTGAATAATCTTATAACTAATTACCACAGGAGGATATTTAATCTATCATTCTTAAGCAGAAATCCTTGACAGCACAAGAACTGATTGTCCACAATATAGTGAGTGACAATAATAGACCTTAAGATTATCTTTTTCTCTTGTTTGGGGCTCATGTTCAGTGAAGTATAATAAGCAACCAGAGTTAATTCAAGCACATTTAATCCCAATAACACAGTGAATCCTAGCTCCCTGGTCTCAACCTTCATTAACATTGTATTTTTTTCCACTTAATTTTATCATCAATAAGAAATGATACAACAGTCTCATCGAAGCTCTTCAGTACTATTTGGTTAAACCAAGGAGGAAATCCAGGAATAGAGAAACTTACGAGCAAGACCAACTCCAGGTATGGTCACATTATTTCCAAGAAATATGGAGTTGCTATAAACCCGATCATGAGAGGCAGCACCAACAGTAAAGATCCATGGACTGAAGGAGAACATGCTTGTTGGTGATGGTCCAGTATTTCCTGCTGCTTGCACGACAAAAATACCGGCCTTCACAGCCGACAGCAGAGCCATGTCTATTGGATTGAAGAAAGTTGCCACACCAGGAGGACGTCTATTAGGAGTAATTGACAAGCTTATTATGTCAACCCCATCCTGAGCTGCCTGTATAATCATACCATTAATAGATTGTAAAGGCAACAAAAAAGTGAGTAAATGACAGGGATCCTAAGAGGTTAAATAAAAATCCTTAAACAGTGTGAAAAAGTGCTCTTCACCACTACTGAGGTAGGGGCATAATGGAATACATTGCTAAAAGCAAGCCCTTGAAGAATAGATAACAGTTATATACTTAATTAGGGAATTGAACTATTTTACATAAACATATTCTAGGGAGAATCAAAAACATAGAAGGGAAAAAATGACCAGCACAAAATAATTGTTTGCACAACAATATATAACTTGTCTGAAAAATTAAAAATGTACCTGGTCAATTGCTGCAACGACATCTGCAGCAAATCCTCCAAAGCTCTTGTATAATGCCTTGTAAACAGCAATGCTGTAAAAGATTGAAATGCAATACAAGCATAAATTGTCTTTTTAAAGAAAAAGAAACCAATGAAGGTTAAATGAAACAAATAAATAGAAAAAACAAAGCTAAATACACAATTTCTATAACTTTTTATAAACTCCAAAGATAACCTATTTTAAAAGACCTACCTGTTTGCTGTTGTCAGAAAACAAAGTAATGTGGAGTTGAATGATTAATGCTATGGAAATGACACATTCTATGATATGGAACAATGTAGGGCAATCAAAGGGTGAATGTTGAGGGGAGAAGAGAGATGGGTGAAGGCCACACCACATCCTTCAACAATATCTTTTCTGGTTTAGAAATTTGATTCTACAGCAGAGGGAGCTTTGCTTCTGTCTTTAGGCGCCAATACAGCTTTTAGATTTTCAAATGATTTTCAATGCTCTATAACAAACTGGATTCCATTTGACTAAGGACATGTACTTCGAAGAAATTCATGCACACCCCAGGTTTAAAAAAAGGAACCAGAACTCCTAATATGTAATAAATATCTAAAGGTCTCACACTTAAAACACGGTGGAAAGTGAAGTTATTGTTGTACTTAGCCTATGTACGAAGAAAGGCACCAACAAAAATCCTTACCACTAGATCAGCCATGCTCATGAGATCATAAGCTTCAGCCCATAGTTAATCACTTTTATGAGAGAATAAAGTAACTGATGTGCATTCCTTACTGAAATGTCTATTTGTTTAGCTTTAACTGGATTTTTCATTTTTTATTTTTGTTTACCATTTCTTCTCAAATCTAGTCCTTTGGTCCATTTCATAAATTAGTTTCCCTTTTTTTAACCATTAAATTGAAGCCACCACTGTATTTTCTCTCTCTTGCAAGAGAAGCTTCTAACATTTTTATTGTAGATGTTAGAAATATAATATAAAACAATTCATATATCTTTACCTCATTTAAACTTTTGGAATGGTTGTTTCTGACATTGTATGAAAGCCTCTATGACCAAGTGGTAAATCCCTTTTGCCCCCAGTCTTCTAATAAAAAAGTTAGATTTCAGTACAAGATAGGTGGGCCTATGCATGATTCACAATTCAAGCCCAAAGAGCTTTATAAGATTTGGCAATCCTTCTTTCTTCAACTAACTTTGTGGTTGAGATAGATCCAGTGAGTTAGTATATGGCCCTTTTCAATATATTCATCATTGTTTAGTAAAAATTTCAGGACTAATTATAGATTTCACCCTATTACCTACTTTCAAGTTTTAACAGTTTTGGATAAAAAAGACACAAACCAAGTCAATAGGTAAACAAAAACATTTTATCTAATACAAAAAAAAAAGTAAATCATCTGTGGAACAGCACAAACGAACTACTAACATGCCCAGTTACGCACTATAGCAAAAAAAAATAATCATGACACTCCGAAGAATGTAATTTACATATCATTAAGGTTGATGTTAAAGAATAATGCACAACTCATAGCATCATGCATATCTATAGATCCAACAGATTACTACAAGTGTAAAAATAATGATAACAAAATAAAATAAAATAACGAAGACATGTTCCGGATTATTTACTGTGAACGAGGAGCCATCCCACTAGCATTTCCAAAGTGATGTCCAGCAACAATGACTGGAATCCCATGGTTTCCTGCTGCAACAGCTGCTGTATGCCTGTGTATTTTAGTTACATCAGAAAGGGTATTTAGTTAAAAGAGAAGTAAAGATAAATAATTATGTTGTGATTAAAAAAGTTTTGGGGACAGTTAAACATGAAAACATCGGTTCATTTTCAATTCATATTTTAAAAAACATTCAGGGCTATAACAGTTCCAATTTTCAGAACATTATCAACACTCCAAGAAACAGGAGAAAACACATTACTGTAAGGTTCTGAGGGACATATATAAGCTGGACATAATCCATCAAAAACATAATTAAGGTACAGTGAAAAAACTGACTGATAACATGTGGCAATAGTAGACCAGTAGTTGAGACAAAGGCTGACAGCTTAGACTTTGCCACCATGGATTAGCCATGATGGTAAAGCAGATGCCAACAAACAAACCATATATCCCAATTATGAATCCAATTAGTAGTTGGATGAAATCAAGAGTATGGACCATGTAAGATAATACAACCAAACATAACATCCATAGAGAAAAGCCAAGAACTCACGTGCCATGACCATCACCATCAAAGGGAGAAGCATAGTCCTGAGTTGAATTAAATATTCCTCTGGTTATGGCTGAAGCAGCAAAGTGGCGGGCCCCAACAAGCTTCCTATTGCAAGAACCAGATGGAAAGTCGCGAGTAACCTCACAGATGCCAGAAAAATGACCAGGAACAGGATATGGATGATTAGATTTACTATCACCAAAACTAGGATGTGTTGGATCTATGCCAGTGTCAACAAACCCAATAACAACTCCTTCTCCAGCAGTTTCAAACCCTCCCTCTTGAAACCATGCTCCCTGTGGCAGACCCAAAAACTGTGGCGTATGTGTAGTCGCAGTCCTTACAGAAAAATCCAAAACCACATTGGACACTTCACTGCTCCTTGATAGTTTCTCTGCCTTCATGATTCAGTAATTATCAATCAACAGCTCAGAATGTGTTCACTTGCAGTAAATCAATA